CTTTTGTAGATACATGTGTATGAGTATTTATTGTACTTTGACATTGATCCATTGGATGGTTTATTTATTAAACAGGCTGCTATTTGAGTGAAACACCTTTGTAACTACATGTATTGTCTGTTTTGGAAATTCCCTGTTTTGCACATATGGGTCCAAAATTACTTTGACGAATGTGCCTTTTTTTTTACAAAGAATAAGGTGTACCTAAATCAGTCTTCATTATTTTTGTTCGAAGAATGATCTAGAATTCTTCAACTTCCAACATATCAGTGAGTTGTGGTGAAGTTACCCCCAGAATACATGGCCAACTTTTGAATATGCGCAATACTTGTTTTGTTACATTTGTAAGAGTTAACAATTGCTAGTGTACATTGGCCTTTTTTTTTCACCCGAGAGAAATGACGACCATCAAGTTTCAAAAGCTCAGTCTTCATGCAGGGCCATGCAACTTGTCAGTCTGTACATGCTGCTGGCGATGGAGCTAGGGTTGTCAGCCTTGCAAAAGCTCCATAATCCGATTATTTTGAGAAGCAATCAATCCAACTCAATTACCAGGCTACAAAATTATTTTTAGCCTTTGTTGCCAGTCCTTGACTTGTAACACTTTCTTTCCTCTAGAAAAAGTTTATTCCTGATCTTGGTATCTCAAAGACTTGCAGGTACCCTACAGAGTTTTTTTTCCGTGTGCCAGAACGCAAACTCACCACAACCACAAAGTATTTGTAATGGGAAAAAAGGTCATGCTCAGTTTATGCCAGTAACAATGAGAATTCTTAAATGACAGTGCTTCAGTGCTTGTCAGCTTTAATGGATTTTCCCCCCTCCGTTTGGGGTTGACGAATAGTCTCTCTTGATTGGTTTGTTGCCAGACCGAAAGGACCAGGTTTTGAATATTCACGTTTGATTGCTAGAGAGTTGAAATGGTCACGCTCGGTTTGAGGGCACAGACGAGGCCCATTCATCAAGTTCTGGAGTCAGATACTGTGTCAGTCTGTTTGCCTCCCCCCCTTTTTCATATTGTTGGGCACCTGTGACTTGCGTCCGGTTTCATTGTCAGGAGGATCTGAAAAGTTTGGGCTGGGTTGAAGTTTGGGGCAGTTGGGGCTTGGGAGTTGCGCGGGTGTCGACACACTGCCGAATCTGGACGTTGTGTTTTGGCAGCCTTGGAGCAGTGTTGCATCATGCCCTTCATACAGACTGAGGAAGGGCTCTATTACTGGCTCACTTCTCTGGAAATGATGTAAGTTTAGCTGAGTTGTGGAATTTTACTCTCCGAGACATCCACACTGTGACCCACTTCTTGGGGCCAACTTGTTCCAAAATGTTCAGCTGGTGTCTTTTCTATTAAGCTAAGCTGAGGTTTTTTGTTTCTTTAACACTATGATGTTCTTAAACAGTTTGGAAATTCTGGGGGAACCTCTGTAGCGAGCATTACAGCAGCTTCATTCTTTTTCTTTGAACTTTCTGTAAATTTCAATAAATGCTTTTCACTTTTGAATTTTGTATTTATCCTCCCTCCTCCCTCACAATCAAAAATAACCCGTCATTTCAGTTTACTGTGTCATCACCGCATTGCCAGTTGTGTAAATGAACAAGGATCATCCATACATAACACAAGTACAAGTACTTGCTAGCACATGTACCTACAAATTGGTAAAAGGGTGATATGAATAAAAGTACATGCCAAATTGCAGTGTGACTGGATGTGCATCTAGAGGGAAGATGGCCATAACCAAATTTAACCATTCTGATTGAGGATGGAGTTTTGTATCTATGGTTACCTGAGGATAGAGTTTGTTACTGTGGTTGCCTCAGGATAGTTTGTCACTGTGGTTGCCTCAGGATAGAGTTTGTTACTGTGGTTGCCTCAGGATAGAGTTTGTTACTGTGGTTGCCTGAGGATAGAGTTTGTTACTGTGGTTGCCTCAGGATAGAGTTTGTCACTGACGTTGCCTGAGGATAGAGTTTGTTACTGTGGTTGCCTCAGGATAGAGTTTGTCACTGTGGTTGCCTCCAAGGATAGTTTGTTACTGTGGTTGCCTGAGGATAGTTTGTTACCGTGGTTGCCTCAGGATAGAGTTTGTCACTGTGGTTGCTTCACGGGCAGTGTTTTCTGCTTGATTATGTCTGATACCAGGGTAGCAGTTACTGGTATTCTGTAATCAGTGGAAGTTCTTGTGTGTGCACTGCAATTTATTTTTAACCCCTTCCTACCAGGGAGCCTGGTACCGGAGACCTTCACTGCATACGCATTGCCGGGGTGCCTGAAATAGGACTGTTCTTTTTAAAAAAAAAAAGTTGCTCGGCATTTTTAGAAAAAGTTCACTTGCTGTCAGTCAGCTGCTGGGACTTGCCAGTCAAGGTTCATATGCTGTCTGCAGCATGCTTACCATTGTAAGTGGAGGTAATCCGTCATTGCTTTGGAACAATACTATTGTTTGCTGCTGCCAGCGCCCACAGATTATCAGTGGGGACAAAAAGGCTCTAGCACTCCAGCGATTAGCGATACAATATTGCTGGGTGCTCGTGGAATCTGGCAACGTTAGTACAGACGACACCGCTGTTCAGCAACGCACTGGGCCAATTTCCAAAACAAAGAGGAAATTACACGACACAGCCCAATAGGGGCTCTTTACTAGGCTCACACATCAATGGAGGTTGCCTGTCAGATAAGACTTGCCACAAGACAGTCATCTATTTGGGTGTACGCATCCCATAAATAAAGATATGAATTTTTAAAGAATTTGTAAAACGGAAAAAAATGAAAACGCATCCGACAGGGGGTGATGCATGCCGCTAACTCCACCCGGCAGAAAGTGGTTAACCCTAACTCCCCAGAGTGATTTACTATGAACCGTACCATTCACACAAATTCCAACACCATATGGTAAACTGTGCACAAAAACTGTTGGACTCTGTTTATTTTGGGTATGCCTGAATCCATGTTAAAGCACAAGCAGTTTAGGGGTACAGTACCCAGTGCCACCAATTCACACACTTCACCGGTGCTCAGTTCTGTGTGATTAGGGAAGGTTAGGGTTAATGCACTTCTCAAAGTCTGTAGGCTTGTGGTTTGAACAGAAACTGGCACTTACGTAATCATACATGTACAGTACATAAATTTTATGCATGTGTCAATGACCTGTCTATTAAATGTGCATGTACAAATGCATACGTGTACATGTACCGGTATGATGATGTGAACACGTTTATTAGTGTGATTGTGTAGAAGCGTATACTTAATGGTACATACTGCAGCATGGTTGCCAACATTGAATGAGAGTTGATTGACTTTGTAGCTATGGAAGCCCATTTTGAACACAACTTACTTGTACATGTACATGTATGTACATGTAAAGCCAACTCACACAAAAACATACACATGTACTGCATCATTGGCATTAGACTACCGGTAAATATTGTGAAACATTATACTACGAGTGCTTTCAAACATTTCATCATGGGTATTTTTATGTGTGTCCATGCATATATGTAGATCAGTTGTGACTTGCAGGAGGGCCTTTGGTCACTTACAACTTGAAGTGGCGTGTCTTCCCAGAATCTCATGAGGGCACTCTCTGATTGCCTTTATAATCTGACCCTGGATGTTGCCTGAGGGAAGCCTGAAATCTTTCGAATTTTTTGTCATACATGTACGTCAAGTTGTCCAATTTGCATCTCCAAAGTCCAGTGGACAGCACTGTTTCAGATTCATGTGCAAGAGAAAACAGGTCACATGGGTATGCCCTGATCCAATCATGTAATCAGAAGTAAAGTTAACAACACAGTCAGTAGCTGTCCGCATGGGACTTTTCCTACAATGGAAAAGTTACAATCCACTTCTCTTGCACCCCCTTTCGGCTGTGGAAAGTACATGTAGTTACCGATGATCAGTAGTTGACAATTAAATGTTCACCAATTGTCCATATTGGAACATTTGTGAACATACTGGTGCCTGGTGACATTGCCACTACCAAAAAAAAAAAAAAAAAAAAAGAAACAAGCTTACAGATGTTCATTCCAGGGTTTAATAGACACTGTAGGGCAGGACGAGTGACCTCTTCAAATATTGTATAGTATTTATTTCATATATAGATTTTTATTTTTGGCATGAGAAATCCCATTCGGATGTGGAAGGTTGAGAATAACTTCCAAGCCCGAGATGCGCAAGTCTCAAGGGCATCATTCTGGTACATGTACCTGTAATTGTTGGTACATGTTGTTTGAAAGCCAGTGATGAGGGACTTCTCATGACAAGTGGTGGTGATGTCGTGATTATTAAATTTGTAGAAGTCTAGAGTCATTTTATGCTTAGGAAGTAGGGTTGTCTTTCAGATTGGGACTGTAGGTGTGCAGTTACAGTACAAGTGCAGCACAGTTCAGCACAGTTCACCATGCACCATAGTCAAAAACAACAAAGAAGCACAAAGTACTTTCTGAAAGTAAACTTGATACAAAACCCTGACACTGGGCTTTGTTGTGCAAGTTGTCAAAATACTGGGTTTATTTTTTAAGTTGTTTTCTCACTTGCAAGTGTTTAGTTTTGATTGCAAACTCAAACAAACCAGGACAGAGCAGGTGAATGGGCCATGCCAGTCACAAATTGTGTTGACGTCAAACTTCCCCCCCCCAGTTCATCAGAGGTCGTGGTTTTTTGTGGAAGAGGGCCTACTGCCTGAATGGTCACACACAAGTTACATCTACCAGTAGGTACACGTACTTATACATGTATATACATGTATGTACATGTACATGTATATCCATGGACATACATGCAACATCACTGTTGTACCATATTTACGGGACAAGGAAATGCTCGTATGAATTTGGCTCACGTGGCATGCCTGACTTGGACACAATACAAATTATGCATTGCTTGATTGCTTTTTCTGTAATGAGTTGCCTTGCTTATGAAAGCCCATATTTGGTTGTGGGACAAACGGGACATGCAAGGCTTAATTTTAGACTTTGTGCTTGATTTGATAAAGTAACGGTGGCAGTTCCGAAGAACTAGTCGTTAACGGTACATTTACAAGTGCACAGCTACTGTGCATTGTCACTGTACTTTGCTACTGTACGTTGTCAGTTTGTAAACTCATGGAGTGCAGTAATGTGCAGTTGATGACTTCAGAAAAGACAGAAATGGTTGCTTCTTCGCCCATGCTGGAAATAAACTGCAAAGAACAAGGTGACTGCACTTTATCGTCAACATTTCTCTATCTGCCTACATGTAGGTAGTCTGACAGTACAATGCCTCCATTGTTTCAGTGCCACAGCTGGCAGCGAGTTCATGTACATGTAGGTGTGGCTTCACAGCATTGATCCATGTCATATTTACATGTAGGCTAAGCATTGTGGATCTTCAGTTCTGGGTCCATTTAAAAAATAGACTGACAGTAGGAGACTGCATTGATTGCAGCATGGAGCTGTTAAACACATTGCAGGAATGCTTGAAGGCATTGATCGGCTTTTGTACCTGCTGAGTTCTACATGTATTGTACATGTACATTGTGTACACATGTACATGTACACTGTATCTGAACATGTGATGCCATTGCTGCACCTGTATAACTGCATGATTAGGCAGCCCTCAACAAGCGGATGAAATTGGTCTGCAAACTGATGCCAGGATTTACACCTTATGTAATGAACCTCATTTGAATCATTTGCGGGTTGCTGACAGGGCTCGCTGTGTACATGTACAGGGATGAAGTCATTTGACCCAGTGTGAACAGCTGAGGCTGTGCTGGATGGAGCACACAGGCTGGAGACTGCCGGGATTGGATATTTAGGAAACATGAGAATAAATGGGTCGACAGGTCCCTTTTTTTTTTTTTAAAATAAAAGAACACAGCTCAGCGGCTTACATATTTTGGCAGACTTTCACGCAGAGATTTCCTACTGTGCCTGTATAACTTCGATAGAAAGTTGGGAAGCATTCCTATTCAAAACGGCAAGAGGAACACATGGGTCATCCTTTAGAACTTGAGGATCACGTAGACTCTGCATGTATACGTGTACAACTTCATACTTCCACCCCTGTTCGCATGTATGCGGCCTTTGCAAACTTTTTTGATGTCAATAAATAACATCGTTCGGGATATCATTTGACAGACTGTTCAGCCAATGAGAGAATGCCAACTTGTGGTCACTGATGGGGTCCTCTGATGGGGGTCCTCTGATGACCCACATATAAATGTACTTCAGAAACCAGCACTATAAAGTGGGGCTTTCTGACAAGCCGACCAAGCGTGTTGACAGATGCCATACCTAAGCGTGCATACTGGAGAAAGTCTTGTACCCCCCCCTTTGTCCCCCCTCCATGTTAAACTCAGTTGATCTAGGATCTTCAAGCCCGACATTTTTTCTTCGAGAGGGTCTTCCATTTTCAGTGACTTTCCCTGGCCTGAACTTCCTCGACTCCTTTTTCGCGGAAAGTGCTGGCCTGACCTCGACTTAGTGCCAACAACGGGACCAGGATTGTGTTTGATTCCAAGGGATCACATTTTAAGACTGCGGGCCACAGGTTGCAGGAGGTATGGCCCCCCTTGAACGCACTGGGCGGAACGTGTCGTGACTGTGATTGGAAAACTTGGCAGTCTCTCCAGCCGCAATGCCAGTGGGGGTGCTGCGCCTTTTCAAGATCTGCAGGTATCATTTTTAAAATTTTGTGTTAAAAAGTGGTTATTTTGGGGATTTTTTTGTTTTGACTTTTCAGATTGGTTTTGTTGGATCTGCTTTCAAAATCGGAGGTTGTAACTCACAAGCTTGCTCATAGACAGTACACTGTAAGTGCAAAGTGAAGGGAATGTTCAGAAAACAGTCAGAAAGTTCACTATTGCACCGTATATGTGCATGTCATTCCAGAAACATTAGGAGACAAGATTGAATCAACAGCTATCAAAACTATACCGGTATGTTCTTTGAAAGATATCAGTGACCTATCATAAAATTGCTCTGTCCTTGATACGACTTGTGTTGATGACTTCTTTATTAATGCATTCCGTACATGTGTGTGGTTTTGAATCTCAGGTAGTTGTTACCATTAGAACAGCGTAGAAAAGGTTTGTACATAAAGAACATGTACACATCAGTAAGATTAGATGAGGGGGGATGACTTGCTTGCAAGCAGTACGTATACAGTACCGTGATGTGCACCTGTTAACAAGCTGATTTTTACACAGGAAAGCTTCTGCTTAAACCCTTGCATTTGAAAGCAAGCCACACTTTCATGGCTTGTGTCAAGTCATTAAACTGCAGTGGAAGGTAGGGTGTGAAAGGAGTTGATGAAAAAGTCATGAAAGTAACACCCATTTGTTTTTTGTGAAAACTTCCCCCCCAAAAGGATGTAGGGCATTTATCATGTTCATTTGCTTGGCCAGGTAGAGGGAAATTTACAGTTTTAGCCCCTCCCCCCACGGTCTTTCTGTGTGTGGTGGGATTTACTTCACAATTTGGCTCTTGAAACTGAAGATTTCATAAAGTGCTTGTCATAAACTGTTGATCATCGGAGAAATGGTGAACTTCACCTGGTGAAGACACTGAAGAAATGTTTCGGGGCCATTCAGTATTTTTAGTGTTTTTAAATTTTGATTTTTCTTTCCAAATTTTTTCGGCCCACACTCCCAGCCTCATTTTCGATTAACAAAAAGTGATTTTGTCATCCAGTAAACCAGCGTACTTCTGGTACATGAAATTGCATGCATGTACTGGTACACGTATACACATACATACAGTACGTGCATACATACATGTACATGTACCGGTATGCTGTACCATGTTGTACATATCATGTAGTTCAGTTCAGTCGCATATCGTAGTTCATGCAAGTCAAAGGATCTTTTTTTTCTTGTTTGTTTGTTTGGTTTTTTTTAAGAAAAATGAATTTCGATTTTCAGTTATTTTCCTTGACCCACTCACCTACTATTTCGAAAAAAAAAAAATTGAAATTTATAAACATTGAAAATTTTGAATGGTTAGTTTTTGGCTTTTAGAGATAGGAAGAGAGTCCCAGATTTTATGTGGATGTCAATGCAATTTACACCGTCCATTTCACACAAGTGCTACAGCTTTTAGTATTTGTTGAGGAAGAAAAAATTGGGGTGTGGATCGAAATTCTCCAGCCCCAACGAGCAGCACATTTCCTACCAGCACATTTTTAACGCGATAAAATGGCAAGCTTTTCTATTGAAAAGTGGTTCTAGAAATGGTACCAGTAATTGTATTGATAATTGAACGTTGAACCTGTAACCTTGGATCACAACAGGCCCCAGACACCTGTAGAAATCTGGAAACCGGTCATGTGGTGAGAGAAATTCCTCTCTACTCAGCCAGCAAAACTCTCAGCCAATGTTTGCCGAGGACTGAAGCCTGTACAATGTACATGTATGTGACCAGTCAACCAACTCCTCTTTTTGTTGTTGCTGAGCTGAGTTGAGGGCTGGGTACAAAGACAACAAATAGGGGATTGCCAATATTGATGGGCTCTCAGTGTATTGTATGGTTGGGTTACTCATCCTTCGGCTTATGTGAGACTCACACAGATCCACACGTGTCTGTATGCCTGCCTGGTGTGTGCTTTGGTCTATTCAATCAACACCCAGTGCAAGGTTTGCATGTCTATTGGGGAGTTTGCCCTTTATCTCCCAGCTGATAGGACAGATTTGACTGTTACCACTGGACATGTTTGGAAAAAATCTTATTTTATTGTTGTGACTCAATTTTGGAGGCAGGGTGCTGAATGCTGTGGGCCTTCCAACAAAGTTGTGCACTTTACACTAGTAGCAAGCAAGGAACACTGTCTGTTTAGGAACGTGGAACACAATATGAATGATGTATGGATTTTGTGTTGTAGGGTAAGTGCTTCCAGTATTTGGGATTGATTCAGCACTAAATTGCTGTCATTGACTTTGACTATGTACATTTACATGTAGTTTTGTTTGTGTAATTTGTAATAGATGTCTGGTACATGTACTTGTAAAATACCTGTACATATATACATGTACATGTATGTACAGACATTTTTAAATGTACATATGTATGTGCACTGGATATCGTGCACATTGTTCAGGTTGATTTCTGCTCCCTGCTACAAGATACTGGTACATGTACATTACAATATCAATATTGTCAGGATTATTTTTTTGCATGGGTGTTACATTTAGGTCCACAGTGAACAGTTTACAACCTTGGGTAACTTCACTGTTCTATTCAATCGTATGGTAGTGTTCCTCAGTTTATTATGAAGCGGTAGTCCAGTGCATGTACATTACAAACAAGTACTGATACATACTTGTGCATGTATACATGTATGTACCGGGTATATATACCGGTACGCATACACAGAGTTGTAATGATTACTGTACATTCTTGTTGAATCATAGTTATTAGCACTCGGTCCCATATTTCTGAACATGAGAAATTGTCCCCTTGTCCGTAGAGCGAGGAGTAATTCAGAGCCAGCCAGGGGACACATACTGTGCACTGGTACGTTTTCCACGGCTGTTTGATATCACACACCTGTTGGATGATGGAATAAAATCTTTATACGGATGTACAACAGTCCCAACAATCCAGCCCAATATTTCGAAACAAATGTCCCCCCATTAAATCATTAAATACTAAGACAGCAGGTGCAGTATGAGCTGTACATTTACATGTACATTTAGACATTGTACCAGGGACTCTGATAATAAGGGTTGGCCTATAACAAAGAAATACCAGTTGTATTGGAAGACTGAGGGTCAATAGAATTGAATCAGTATTATCTGATCACAGAAGAGAAAAGAAAGTACTTGTGTACAGGAAGTGGTTTTTCATTGAATTCCACAAAAGAAGGGCTAACCTATAGGAAGAGCATACACACCTTTGGATTGAGACCCATTTGGGACTGTTTTGTTTGAGTCTGAGTCACCAGTTCAGGGAACTATTATCTCTTGTGTGGTCTCACACAAGATTTTATAACCTGTAACTGAGGACACTTAAAAGTTTGTAACTTTGCGTTTCAAGAAAAAAAGAAAGAAACAACAGGAAAAAGAAAGAAAAAACATACAGTAAAACCAAAGTGATGGAAAAAAATCCTGCTGCTTTAAAGGTTTGTTTTGAGCAATATTTTGTCTGAGACAGGAACAGGGAAAAATTGACTTTTGGCAGCAGTGTCAACATGTAAATTTATCCTTTTTCAGTGTAGATTTCTGAAAAGGAAAGCGATAGAGATCATGAGACATCCCTCTGAATAAAATGTTCGTTAACATAAAGCACTCGCTAATGTTGGCAGCACCCTTCGCGAGTCAAATTTAGTGCCTCGTAAATGCTTTGATAAAAAAACTGCAATGGTGCCGGAGCCCATACATCTGCTCACATTCCAATGTCTTCATTGTGATGCTGTCCATCATCTATTGTGATTCATTGTTCGGGATGTGCATTAATGGATGGTTTGGAGTGCCACACCATGCTGGTGTTACTGCTGGGCCTTTCAACAGGGTTCCGTGTTCGTGCCAATGTGCTGTCTCCCAACAGCTGTATCTGAATTATCAAAATGCATACATTGTACGGTTTACACACCACACTGACCAAGGTTCCATGTACATGTACATGTACGTACTCGTACATTGAGCAGTTTGCGCAGCATTATGGGATCGTTTTTATCAATGGTGAACTCAAATGTTTGTAACATACCTCTGCTTTCTTTGTAGTTTCATAAAGAGACCTTTTAGGTGTAATGTTTTCACAGCTGAGGAAAAGGCTGTTTTGTGAAAGCCAGTCATTTGGTGTTTTGTGCCAAACATTTAAGTTAATTTGTAGTATGTGAACACACACTATGAAAGTATACAAGAAGTCTTCATCACATTTGTTTAGGATAAAAAAAGAGTCACCATGTATGTTCGTGCATTGCAATGCAATCTAATGAACTTATGTTTTTACACTACCCAGTGACCCTAACCATGCACCGGTATGTATGTGTAAGACTGCGTGTCTTTGTTGCCGTACCGGTATATGTACACGTACATGCATCAAAAGTTAACATGGATTACCGAAGAAAAAAAATTGTAAGGCTAATTTTTATCAAGACAATATTGCCTATCTTTTGTCTGTCAGCAGTAAAGCCTCCACGGTAAGCTCATTTTCTATGAATAAAGATTTCCCCCTTGCCCTGGGGTGGTTTTGGTCTTAGCTGCTCACAGCAGTCTCTTCCCCCCTCCCACCCAGAGCAGATCATTTGGGAAAAAAAAACTAGGTCAACAGGCTGTATGCAGAGTCTAGGGTTTCAGCCTGACTTGAAGTCTGCAAATGGAAGAGAAGATTTCTTTCTCCTCATTGCTCGTTATTCAAGACTTTGGTGTTTAATCACAGAGCATGTACATTACATGTAGCTCTTAAAGGCTCTGTGGTATGGATTCTGCACTAAATCATTTTTTTGTGTGCAGCTATCTGTATGTTAAACTATGATAACCTTTGAAATAAGAACGTGTATGAACTTTCAATCCGCTGCACACATGTGTACATGTACATACATGTAAGCATGAGCATGTAAATTCCAAGGATTTTATGATAAATGCACTGACCATAAAAAATTATGTTCAGGTGAGTCAGCATTTGGGTATTCATTTTCGATACCTGTACATTGTACATGTATGTGTACATGTACCTTT